GCTCTTGTCGTCGCTGCCGCCCGCCCAGGCTCGATCAGCGAGAGCCCAACGTAATCGCCATCAGAATAAAGAGAACATGGCGTTGCCCCCCATTTCAACCCCTCTCCCAGCCCCTGATCATCCCCCTACACAAACTAACAAACAGAACAGAAACGGAAAGAAACCTTCCCTGGCTTCGAACCTGCGCCCGCGGGCTGGGGGGCGTGAGCGGCGCGGCCAGACTTCGGGCGCTCTCAGGGGGCTGTGTCTGCGTGGCGGTGGGGGTCGGTCTCGGGGAATGTGTGTCTGTGGCCCCGGCAGGCGACAGGGAGAGATGGGGACCACATCCTACTCAGTGACTTGCTTAGTCGAAGCGAAACTAGCAAACAAAAACGAAACAACCAGTCAACCTTTTTTGTGGGGGAAAGGCAGCAATCTTTTGAAAGAAGAAGAAAGTGAGGTTTGTTGGGAAAAAATGCAAGAAAAAATTGACAAAATAAAGGTGGAGAGAGGGCTGCAGCTGGAGCGAAGGGCTTGATACTCAGTTCTGTCCTGACAGCAAGGACTCTCTGGGGGACTCCGCGGGGAGAGAAAAGCCACCTTCCAGCCTCCTCCCCTTCCCCTCGGGTCCTTGGGCCCGAACTGCTGTGGCGAGGACTCGAACAAATTGTCCCCGTGGGTCAAGCTCCGGACGGCGCGCCCGCTTGCCGGTTCCACCTCGCGGGATGGCCGCGCTGCCCTTGGCGCAACCTAAGCCCACACCCTTGCACCTCTCGAGCCTCCGCCCTGAAAGATGCCCCGTCCATGAGATGCCTTTTCAGCCGCAACTCCGCAAACTGTCTGCTCCTCCTCAGCTCTCCCTTCCTTCTCTCCCGCAACCCTCGTCGGCATTTTCTCCTTCTTCCACCAGCTTTTACTGAACTTTAGGACACTGCTTTGAATCGGAGTCCATGGCAGTCCACGTAACCGGCTGCTGCGGCATCGACCACGCAGGGCAGAGGCACGCACACGAGCCAGCAGAACCCCGCTTCGCGGTGCCGTGCGAACCCCGCGAAATGGACGCACATCCCGGATGGTGGATGGACTGTGTATTGGCGATTCCATTCTTTGCGCAGTTTAGACATCTCTGTTGGGAATTTGGTCCTTTGGGGTTTTTTGTTTTGTTTTGCTTTGATTTTAAAATATTTTATTTTAAAAGGCACAAACTATAGCTATTAGTTGAATGTGGAGGCTTTAACTTTTTCGATGTCTTTCTACAACTGTGTTCTGTGACTCAATTGTATCGTGTTAATATCAGTACAGACCGTCTCCTCTACGTGACCGTATAATGTTTTTTCTCTCCTTGTAGTCTCTATGGTGTGTCTTTATGGAGTAATTAAGGTTCTTCACGGGTTCAATTCCTTTGTGTTTAGAGAGACCACGGTTCAGACAATGGTATATATTTTTGTTATCAGGTGCATGTTTGTCAGATTTTTCCCCCTCTCCTTCTTCTCGTTGGACTATGTTCGTGAACATAATCGTCCTAACTTATGTTTCAGATTTTCGGATTTATTTATATGTGTTATAATGAATGCTTCTATTTAAAAGGGAAATATTTCTACATGTGCATATAGTTTTCCAAGAGTGTACCGTTAACTTGATTGTTGATAATAAAAGCAAAAAGCAAGTCTAGCAATCGAGTCTTTCCTGGCCTTTTCTTGCTTTGTTTTTGTTTGGTTGGTGGTTGCGTTCTGTTGATATTTTAAATCGAAGTTGAGAAAAAGGATTTGAAAAGAAGGGGGAAATTGGGCTAAAGAACCAGAAACCCCAGAACGGCTCCTGGGACTGAAAGCAGTTTGGAGCCTTTGAAGGCACAGAGACAAATCCGACAAACGATAAGATTGAGTGCGTAGGACAGCAAACAGGATTCTGAAGTCCGGTGTTCATCTGCAGTCCGATGGCGGAACACCAAAGGACTCCGGGCTTTGTTCAAAGGGTTTCAGGATTCGGGATTCGAATCCGGGTGTTTGAAATGGATCATCTCATCAACAAAATCCCACTGCCACCGGGTCAATGCTGACCCCTGTTTCTGAGACTGGAACTGTTTACAGGAGTAGAAAGCCCTGTCTTTCTCCTTTGGAGCTGCTGGTGGTTTTGAACTGCCCACGGATGGTAGGGCAACCAGTGCATAACCCCTACATCACCAGGGCTCCTTGAAATGGACAGAAGTGCAGATTCCAAGCACAGGCATCTTCCAAACTGAGGAATGCATGACGTTCTGCAAGGTTTGGATAGTTCAGCTTCCTGAAGACCAGTGGACGCGCTGGTGCACTGTGACGCCCTCCTGGGGCTTGTGAGATCCTCAGCAAGGCGCCAGGCATTGGGCTCAAGAACAGAGCGGCACAGTGGGTGTACAAGAAGACACAACACCACCAACAAATGGAATCCTTGGTGTATCACATGCACTTACACATAACAAGTTGTTTTCCATGCACAAGCTGTTTTGTCTCTTGAAACAACAGCCTGACAGACGCACATCTATTTTCCTCCTTTTCTGTTAAACAGCTGAAGAAACAAAGACTGCAGGGGAAATGAACCTACTCAGGAGCCAGCCTTTGATCCCTGGATCTCTGATTCCAGATCCTGCACCTTCACTTCTCAGGAGCTTCCAAAGTGCTGTCGCTGGACCAGCAGCACCAGCAGCTCATGAAAGCTTGGTAGACACAAATTCTTGAACCTAGTCTGGACCATAGAAAAGCCAAAGTCACTATCACGGAGACAATTCCAATACATGGTGATCCTATCAGACCAAACTCACAGCCATCAAGTCAATTCTGACTCATAGCAACCCAGTAGGACAGAGCAGAACTGCCCCTGTGGGTTTTGGAGGCTTTACATAGATCTTTTAAAAAATAATTTTATTGGGAGCTAGTACAAGCTCATCAAGCAGTGTTGTACACTTGATACCACAATCAGTTTCAAAACATTCTCTTCCTTCTTGAACTATTTTATCCCACCCGCTGTCTCTTTAGGTTCCTCATGAGGCTGTAAATCTTTAAAGGAGCAGAAAGCCTCATCTCTGTCCGATTGAACTGCGAGCTGGCGACCCCACACAGATTCGTTCTGCCACACCACCGTGGCTCCCAAACTCTGATGGGCGGGTGGAGCAATCTATGCTTTCAACAGCCCTTAAGAGGATGTTCAAACAATTGAACTACTAGGTAAGAAACCCAAAGGGGAAGGTTCTCAAATCAGAGCTATCTTGAGCACTAAGTGGGAGAGGAGTCCCCTGTCAACTTCAGTGACCCCCTTTGGTAAAGCAGGGGTTGTCACTGCCCCCAAATAGAATCCTGTCTCTTCTTTAGACTATTTAGGTGGGCAACTTTCCTCCAGCAGGTTGCCCATGTTTACCTTGCCACCTCTCTGGTTGGGCTTGGTCATCTGAACAGAATCCACAATCTGAGCCCTCATTCCCCTGTCTCTGGAGTGAGGATTAGCAGCTGTGGCTTAGTGGTTTTGCATGGGGCTGTGAACTGCAAGGTCAGCAGTTGGAAACCATCAGCCCCTGCATGGGGGAAGGAGGATGCTGTCTGTCCTCATCCAGAGTTACAATCTGGGACACCCAGAGGGGAAGTTC